CTATCGTCAATCTCCAAAATGTTCTCATTCTTCCATATGTATACGATTGGGAGTCCCATATTACTATTCTGATGGGTTCTCTTCTGTGGCTACTAAAGCTGTGGCTTCACATTTGCGGTAATGCTTCCCACCCTCTGAAAAGCAATCTGCGATGGATCACTTTTCAGAGAACGGTACAGCAGCGGGTGACAAGCATTCAGGAGATGCTACTTCTGCCTTCTGACACCTGTTCCTTTTTATTTTGTTATAGAAAATGACCATTTTTAAATTGCAGGACCAAGCTGCAACTGCAGGCCAAGCTGTTTCACTCACTGGCCCCACATTGAACTCAATGGGTGCTCCCTGTCAAATTCTGCAGCTGAAAAGAATCACGGTTGAGGCATGTGTACAGCCCTGTCCAGCTATATTATTATTATTATTATTATACAGGATTTATATAGCGCCAACAGTTTGCTCAGCGCTTTACAATATAACGGGAGACAATACAGCAACAGTACAGTTCAATACAAGAGGGATAGGAGGGCCCTGCTCCTTGGAGCTTACAATCTAGGAGGGAGGAGCTAGTGGCACAAAAGGTAATAACTGTGGGGGATGGACTGGTAGGAAGAGTAGAAGATTCCATTGTTAGCTGAGGGCAGGATAGGCTTCCCTTCAGGATGGCAGCTGTGGGGAGGGTATAAAACTGTGGCACAGCCACCTGGGTGAAGGAGCCCTTAGAGGTAAGTAGTGACCAGGGGCGGACTGACCATTTGGAAACTCGGGCACTACCCAAGGGCCCGGGGTCAGTAGGGGGCCCCATGAGATGTCCCTGGTACCTTTTTCATAAGCTTTTTTGAGTTTGGGCAAGGACACAGGGGCCCCATGATCCCCTATTGCCCGGGGGCCCCATGAGTTGTCAGTCCACCCCTGGTAGTGCTTAAAATTTCTTTAACCCCTTCACGCTGGCTGCACACAAATGTGCGGCTTCCCGGCGTCTGGGCCTAGACGCCGAGCGGCCTCACATTTGCTTTCAGGTAAGAAAAAAAAACATGTGCTGAGAGCGTGCACCCTACGCGCTCCCAGCACACGTCTGCTACTTACGGAAAGGTCCCGGTCTGCTCTTTCATTTGGGACCTTTCCCTATCATGTGACCGCCGTGACGATGCATCACATGATCCCCAAACCCCGCCCCGCCTCCTGGCTTCTGAAACTCTTAAAGGGCTGGGAGGCGCCGGCGGGAAGGGGTTAATAAACAGCAAAATGAATTTCATTTTTACACTTCAGACACTAAGCCAGCAGTAGTGGAATCATCTACTAGTATCTAGCATGTAGTGCAAGAGCCTGTCTGATTCCATAGATATTATGGGATAGGTTAGGTAGGTCCTTGTATTACAATATCTAAGGTTGATTGTACAGGGATTGTGCGGTCAGATTGTAACGTGTATTGTAGGCCTAAGGCACCTTTATAACAGACATAAAAAAAATGTTCTGTGCTTATTTGGCCAACATCACATGATATCAATACAAGTCACCAAAATCCTGGATGTCACACAGAGAACATCAATACATTATACAGTCAAGGAAGCTCCATCTGGGATGTCATAGATTACCCGCTGTGGGTGAGAGCGTTACACCAAGTACAAAAATCTCTCATAATCACTTCATTTGCTCCTAAAGTAAACCTGTTGCAAAACGCAGACTTGGCCTATGACAGCACTGTGCTCAGGCCTCCATCCGTGAAAACCACATGTAGAAACAATCAGTACATCCACAGATACATACAGCTATAAATATCTGCAAATCTTGACTTTTCTTGAAAAGGTCAAGTTTGGCCCCTCCCCTTCCTGCCTCCTAAGCCTTTCTACCGCTTAGCCTAAAGGTGAACAGCCTCGCTGATCAACAAGGATGCTAATGCAAGCCATGCAACAGTATAAATGGAGGGATCTCCCCTGCTGGCTCTTGTATTCAGACATCCACAGCGCTCATGGCTGTCTGAGCACACACACAGTGGCTGCATCTGATTAGATGGACCAATTGTTTGGCCAACGCATTTCCATTTTTTAAATCAAAGTTTGTCAGCCACCAGCAGAACACTCACAATTCCTGCTGAATCGGCAATATTCAAGCCATGTATGGCCAGCTTACGGATGAGATAAAGTGAAACATTTACAGGGAATGTACACATAACTCTAGCTACTGATGTATGTGGATCTACTGAGTATGCTTACTTGCAGTTTTCATTGAGAGTATGCAGGGCTGCTGTTAGAATCCACAGGGCCCCTTACAGCCAACCTGTCAGGGCCCCCCCAAAACCAAATGGGCCCATAGCCAACCTAACAGGGCCCCCCATGCCCACAAAAAAAAACCCCCAGTTTATTATGCTTCAGTTATGAATGAACACAGTGAGTGATCAGTACAGGTGACTCGTTGTGTTCATTCAGGAATGGAAGAGGCTGGTAAATTACTGGAACTGATCCCCTGTATGTTTCTCTCTGCAGCAGCTGAAAGCGGGGAGAGGAGAAGAAGCCAGCTTTCAGCTGCTGCCGAGAGAGCCATATAGGGGATTGGTTCCAGTAATTGCCCCATTCACCCTTCCTGCCCACATCCAATTCACCCAGCTGCCTGGGCCCCCCTGCAGGCCTGGGCCCCGTACAGGAGGACTGGTGGTACCCCCTTATCCACAGCCCTGAGAGTATGTTTATGTAATTTTTTTCATCATATGCTTTGTCTGAATTACCCAATTTTTGCAACAGGTTTACCGTAATAAAACTAGGAACACACATTAATAAAAAAATATTTCATAGCACAAAATAATCAACTATGGACCTAGGACTGTGAAAAATAAACTATGATAGTTTAACTAGTTTTCTTTTTTTAAGTTTATTTTCTTGAATTCTCTTCTAAATGTGGGCACTATTTACAATGTATAAAATATTATAAATAAACTACATTCTATTTTTGAAAGTGTTGGCCGCACACGTTTTAGGGGGGAAGTGCAAAAACTGGTTAATTTTGAGTAGAGTAGGGATTTAGTTAAAGGATAAGTTCACCTTGTCAAAAACTTTTTGTGTATAATAAATAAATGCACATTTTTTTTTGGCAAGTAAAAAAGTTAATAAATGCACATTTTTTTTGGCAAGTAAAAAAATATGCATTTTTAAATTTGTTTTCTAAGGAATTATGCCTTTTTACAAAGTGTGCAGTGGAGTTACATTGAATTACTAGTCACAATCTGTGATCTGATGGTAGGTGCAATCTCAGTTGAGATCCTTTGAGATTTGAAGATTCAGTATACAAATCTGATCCGGGGAGAAAGATTTATTGGGAAATCACTTGCAAAGATTTTTTTGGACATTTTGTATTTTGGACCTATGGGACTTTATATTTTTTGTCATTTTATTTATTTAAGTTTGCTTAATTATTATTAAGTAAAAAAAAATATGCATTTTTATATTTTTTTTCTACCAGAGCATGCACTCACACCAGCCAGTGCAATCTCAGGCTCCTGCAGATTCTCAGCAAAGCTGCATACTTTGTAGAAGCAGGAAAAGTCAATACAAGCCGTCAGCCACAGAACTGCCGTCAGCCACAGTGGCTGATGGTACTTGTAGGTGTTCATTCACAAGAAACTGTAAATGAATGATGCAGCCACGTGGGCGGAGCCCTGCAAATTGTGACAGCGGGTGCAGGGAGGTCCTAAAAAATGGGTGGAACCAGGGGCAGACTGACAACTCATGGGGCCCCCGGGCAATAGGGGATCATGGGGCCCCTGTGTCCCTGCCCAAACTCAAAAAAGCCTATGAAAAAGGTACCAGGGGCATCTCATGACACTGACCCTGGGCCCTCGGACCCCCAGTGCCCGAGTTTCCACATGGTCAGTCCGCCCCTGGGTGGAGCATGTAACATGTTCTGAAGATGAACTTATCCTTTTTTTTTTTTTTTTGTTGCTTGCCATTTGTGATTGATTTCTCTTCATTTCCTGTCCTACAGACACAAGAGAAGGTAAGAGAAAATCTCAACAAAGTGAGCGGAAGTCCCCTCATTGGCTGCTTTCACACTCATCTGCTTGTATTCCGCTTTTGTGTTAAAAAAAAAAAAAAAAAGCAGAAGAAAAATGTGGCGTGACCATGTAATCCTATGGAAATATTCACACAGATCTGTTATGGGTCGGCTGCATTATTTTTTAAATCCTGCTTGCTGCATTTTGGTGCAGTAGAAAAAAAAAAAAAAAAAAAAAAAAAACAAAAAAAACACACCTCTCCATTGAAATTAATGGAAAACACTGCAAAAACGCACCCACGTTGCGTTTTTGGTGGGGATTTTGAGTCACATGTCTTGTACAAAAAAAAAAAAAAAAAAAAAACAAAGCAAACGCTGTAAAAACTCAGTTTTTACTACAAATCAGTGTGAAAGTAACCTTAGACAGCTGCCCCTGGAATAAGTGATCCCATTGGTTGATCTCCCTTTCATCCCAGTTTTGGTTAAAACAGTCACATTTAGGATTTCTTTTCATATTTTGAATCTTGGTGTCAACAGAAAGGGTGAATCTCCCCAGCAGGAACATGGCAATAAAAACCTGACAGAGGTTCTAACCCTTTCCCACACTATCCAAAACCCCAGTAAAAAGTTTTGGCTTTATGTAGATACACGTTAAAGAAATTTTCCACCCCCCAAAAAATAGAAAGAGCTTAAACAAAAAGGAAAATGCCCACAGTGCCCTCACTCCAATCGCCGCAAGCCTCTTCTACCGCTTACAATGGACACCGGAGGTTACAACACCGAAAGGGGCAAAGATGATTATACAAAATGCAGGAACCCAAAGCAACTGGAGCTCCGCTGTTGGCAGCAGTGAAAGATTACTTCTGATTGGTTGCTGTGGGTTAAGGTACTCTGCTCATTTCCTTTAATTCCTACTGGGAAAATAAAAAGAATCTGTTGCAATACACAGGAGGAGCTCTGCACTTCATACATTGGACATATATATGACGCAGGATCTAGCATTGCTTAAACGCAAAACCTCATCACAACGCTTTCAGCTGCCGTTCCTTGTTTAACTTGCGGAAAAAGGCCTTCCAAAATTCATAAGTGCTAATCATTATGGCGCATGCTGGAGCGACTTTCATCAGACGAGGCAAAAGACCTGCAATGGATATTAAGAAAGAAAAAAAAAAAAGTAAGTCACTAAAAATTGGACATTCAGCAGAATGCAGAGTCAGTGGTAGCAGGTCTCCAAGTTCTTAGTGGAAGTTTGGATTCAGAGTGATGCAATTTACCGGCTAACTAAAGCGGAATTCTACTCTCTCAATCAACATTGACAGTTTTTATTCCTTTTGCTACAACCATTAGTAAGTAGTAGATAGGAAGATATATTATATTTACTTCTTTTAAATCATTTTTCCTTCAGTTATTTCCTGGTTTCTGGTCAGGGCAAATGATGTCTTACATCTCAGAAGTATTCAGGAGGGGAGGAGAGGTTTTTTTTTTCAGCTAAGCACACCTTCCTGCCTGCATGCCTGAGCTAAGGGCAGATGGATCCCAGGAAGTAAATGCTACATGAATCATCTGCCCTTACGCAAGATGGCCACAGCTACAAATGCTAGCGAGGTCTATTTCAAAGTGATTTCTCAACATAATAAAGCATGGAGACATAGAGACATGGATGGATGGCAAGGTTTGCTTTGAGTATTAAAAATGAATTTAATAGCGTTTTTGGTTTGTGGTGCTCAGATGGAGTGTAGTGCCACTTTGAATAGATTGTAGTGCCAGCATTCATAGCACCATGGCCTCTTCTTCATGTTATATTCTTCATATACACTCTCCGGCCACTTTATGAGGTACACCTTACTAGTGCCAAGAAAACATCCCGCACACCATTACACCACCAGCCTAAACCGTTGATACAAGGCAGGATGGATCCATGCTGTCATGTTGTTTACACCAAATTCTGACCCTACCATCTGAATGTCGCAGCAACCAGTCTGCCCATTCTCCTCTGACATCAACAAGGTATTTTTGTCCACACATCTGCTGCTCACTGGATATTTTCTCTTTTTCGGACCATTCTCTGTAAACCCTAGAGATGGTTGTGTGTGCAATTCCAGGTAGATCAGCAGTTTTTGAAATACTCAGACACCAACAACCATGCCACATTCAAAGTCACTTAAATCCCCTTTCTTCCCCATTCTGATGCTCGGTTTGAACTTCAGCAAGTTGTCTTCACCACGTCTAGATGCCTAAATACATTGAGCTGCTGCCATATGATTGGCTGATTAGCAATTTGTGTTACCAAGCAATTGAACAGGTGTACCTAATAAAGTGGCCAGTGTGGGTGTAGTTAGTCTGGTTGAAAAAGAAGTCCATCTAGTTCATCCAATAAAAAGGATGAAAAAAAAAATACAATTCCATATACAAAACCACAGTTGATCCAGAGGAAGACAAAAAAAAAAAACAGCAAAGTATGATCCAATTTGCTCCAGCAGGGGAGAAAAAAATCCTTCCTGATCCCCCAAGAGGAAATAGGCTATTCAATAGGCACGATATGAAAAAGAAGTCCTTCTAGTTCAACCAATTAAAAAGGATGAAAAAAAATATATACAATTCCATATACAAAACCCACAGTTAATCCAGAGGAAGACAAAAAAAACAGCAAAGCAAAGCATGACCCAATTTGCTCCTGCAGGGGAGAAAAAAACCTAATCCCCGAGAGGCAATTGGCTATTCTCTAGGCATAATATTTCCTGAAGAAGAGACCAGCAGGTTTGAAAAGCTTGAACTACAATTCATTTAGTTACTCAATGAATAGCATCATCTTAAATCCAAAGTTCTGCTTTTGTTAATGACTAATATGGTACAACGTTCTGCTGCTTCTTATACTGCACCAGTGTAGGGTCTGACAATGGGTCCAAGGATTTCATCCCGATACCTAATGGCAGTCAGGGTGCCATTGTCTAGCCTGTAGAGGTCTGTGCGTCCCTCCATGGATATGCCTCCCCAGACCATCACTGACCCACCACCAAAACAGTTATGTTGAACGATGTTACAGGCAGCATAACGTTCTCCACGGCTTCTCCAGACCCTTTCAAGTCTGTCACATGTGCTCAGGGTGAACCTGCTCTCATCTGTGAAAAGCACAGGGTGCCAGTGGTGGACCTGACAATTCTGGTGTTCAATGGCAAATGCCAATCGAGCGCTATGGTGCCAGGCAGTGGGCACAAGTCCCACTAGAGGATGTCAGGCCCTCAGGCCACCCTCATGAAGTCTGTTTCTAATTGTTTGGTCAGAGACATTCACACCAGTGGCCTGCTGGAGGTCATTTTGTAGGGCTCATCCTGTTCTTCCTTGCACAAAGGAGCAGATACCGGTCCTGCTGATGGGTTAAGGACCTTCTACAAGTTAAGGACCTTCTACAAGCCTTGTCCAGCTCTCCTAGAGTAACTGCCTGTCTCCTGGAATCTCCTCCATGCTCTTGAGAATGTGCTGGGAGACACAGAAAACCTTCTGGTAATGGCACGTATTGATGTGCCATCCTGGAGGAGTTGGACTGCCTGTGCAACCTCTGCAGGGTCCAGGTATCGCCTCATGCTACCAGTAGTGACACTAGCCAAAACTAGTGAAAACCAGTCAGAAAAGATGAGTAGGAAAAAAAATGTCAGTGGCCTCCACCTGTAAAACCATTATTGTTTTGGGGGTTGTCTCATTGTTGGCCATCTAGTGCACCTGTTGTTAATTTCATTAACACCAAAGCAGCTGAAACTGATTAACAGCCCCCTCTGCAACTTAACTGAGCAGATCAATATCCCAGTTTAACTTGATGCTATACTTTGATTAATAAAAGTGTTCCTTTAATTTTTTATAGCAGTGTATATTTATACTCACCTAGGTGGATGCAGCATTGATTATCTGTCCCCCACTGGCTCTGCAGCGAGAACTGAGCGATCAAAGACCACTGATCACTCAGTTCTCGGTCTTCAGTGAACAGAGCGGTGGCTGTCTGTTCTGCCCCTCCCATGCTTACTGGATCATCAGGCTGGGGAGGGGGCAGAAGCAGATGGCTCGGGCTCTCATCAGCGCTGCTTAAAAGCTGAGCCAGCTGCCAGTCAGACATGTGGGTGGATCCCAACCATATTGTCGGGATCTTTCCATAGCCTGGACTAGCTCTGTGACGTGGTTAAAGCTGAAGTTTAGTTATGGAAGTTTTTACATAGTTACTGTATATTGGTCCAGCTTGGACTGAAGTATACATGGGGCCATATAGGGATGTTTTTACTTTAGCTGACCTAATACTACAGAAATATCATTACAAACTGACCAAGCCGCTTCAGGGATGTGTGCTATCTTCCTTAGAAGGTAATACAAATTTTCACAGGTTATGAAAGGCCATTACTATCAACTATTCCAGTATATAACAGCCCAAACTGGAACAAGTTAATCTCTCACCAGGGCTGCTGCACATGTTTGATCCTCTGCAAAGCCATAAAAAACGGGCGGGACTCCTTGGCAAAAGGCATCTATTTCCAATATTAATACATATGTTATCTTTATCTATCATTACTTCATTAAATGTTATACACAGTTTAATTTTACTTGCAAGTGTTTGTGTGATCACTCATTGCACATAGTTACATAGTTAGTCTGGCTGAAAAAAGACAAACGTCCATCCAGTTCAACCATAAAAAAGATTCTAATCCTATACCCACAGATCGGAAAAAATCCCAAGAACATAAACTATCAAAACACCGTGATAAAACAGACCAGCATGGGAGGGAGCTCACAGTACAGATTTACTGTATACTGGATGATGTTACATAATATGCAACTTTTTCAGTATTCATCCACATAAAAGAAGAGAATTGGTGGGAGAGGGGTTCCATTTACAATTCACAGATTATGACACCATACACAAACTCACCAGCATATAGCCCCTTGAAGCCATTCTCAGATATGATCCTCATCATCATGTTCCAGGTTGATGAGGATCTTTTTGGAGACTCTAAAGAAAAGTTAGGGAAAAAGTCAAATGTAGCATAAAAAAATGCATTTTACTGATCTATTAGAAATATCACCCGTACAAGGAAATACAAGTCATAAAATGTGTCTAAACCCTAAATATTTTTTGTCCTGGATAGAGCAGCATTTCTCAAACTCTTTTCAGTCAAGGCACCCTTTAATATTCTCCACAATCTTGAGGCACCCATTACAAAATGTAAAAAAAACTAAACTAATAGCTTTACAAAACGCAGCAACATCTGCACATGTGGGACACCCAACGTTAGCGGTGATATAGTCTTCCAAAGCAAATACATTTTTGCACTCTGGTACTGACTAGTATGCCAATGTTTCTCTTCTCCCTCAGTTTCTCTCTCGCACTCAGCTAATGTGACCCCAGTGCTGACGGAGAGGGGCAAGCAAGGATGCTGTGCAGGTGTCCGATGTCCTTCTTATCAACTGATGACATCATTGGTTGTTATGTCGCCGGTAGCTAGAAAGTTGTAATGGTGCACAATGAAGGCCTGTGGCTTTGTGCAGCTAAAAGGCAGGCTTGTACACAATTTTTAAGGCATTTTGCCAAGGCACCCCTGAAGAAACCTGGAGGCACCCTGGTTGAAAAAGGCTGGGATAGTGTATGGAAATATTAGAACCCCTGTCAGGTTTTTAATGCTGTCTAAGTTCATGCTAGGAATATTCACTCCATGTGACCTGGTGACCACAAAAGGCAGTGGAAATCCAAAATGTTGCTTGATTTTCTCTCCAGAACAAGAATAGATGGGAAATATTCCAATGGGAACACCTGTTTAGGTGACAGTTGTCAGAGAGGGGGTTTCCCTGACTTTGGACAGTTTTCCTCTCACTGGTTGGGTCTACACAACAGAAAGTGAACAGAAAGGGGAAACAGATAACAAAAAAAATAGAAAAAAAAAAAAAAAAGGGATTAGGGAACACCATCCCAACCCTACCCAAAAAAAAAAAGATTTGCTTCTGATACACTTAGCTGTACTCCAGGCTCACCTTCAGTCTTGCACAGGCTCTTATGTACCATATTTGCTTTCCCTGTACACTCTGAGCAGCTCACAATGTGCCTTAGAAACTGCAGCAAGTCATCTAGTTCTTTCCTCCCCAGGCTTACTGTTCCTGCCCCGCCCCTTTCATTCATTGGATGCTCTTTCAATCATGGAGGCTCAACATCACATGTGTGTGTTACCCAGGCCGGCCTGCATGCAAATATAGACTACCTAGCAATGTCCATTCCTCCAGACTGACATCCACCCATCGAGGCATATTGATATTTGCATAGCTCCACCAAGAGCCAGCCCACTGCTTGCACCACGGATAAGAGGTTGGGTGTTGTGATATTTTCAGGAAGCACCCTGCAGGCCCCTCACACCAGCTATGATCTGCTTGCATCGCACAAAGAAGCACAGAGGCCTAGTGATGACATCACTGATTCTAAATAAAGAATGTAATGAAAAAGGGAAGTTTTTATGTAACAATTTCATTACATTCTGATGAGGGGGAAAAAGGGAACCAGTTAAAGTGGATCTTCACCCAGAAATAGAAAGTGCCTCCTGTCCACCCCTCCTCCAGTCCGCTACCTGTATAGTGTCTTTATTTTTCTTTTACCGTTTTTTTTTCTGAAAAAGGGTTAGGTCCCGCCTCCAATACATGCCTTTAGTGTTAAATTCACAGAGGAGGAGGAAGGCAAACCTAGCAGCACATCACCGGGAGGCCTGCCAGCTAAACCCGGAAGAGCCAGCGGGATGACGTGCAGCACAGGACCCGAGTGACAGCTTCTGAAAACAGGATGTCGGCAGGACAATGCCGGATCCACTGGGTGGGTGAGTGGAGAGATCGGCAAAAGGTAAGAAGGGGTAGAATTAAAAAAACAAAACCAAAAGGGTGGAAGCTGAAGATCCACTTTAAGGCAAAAGAGAAGCAGATTAAACTTCAGCTTGATAGATGACCTACATCACAATCACATAAAATGGAGTATTATTTTTAAAAAGATTATTTTTACAGTGTTATTGGTGCCCATGCACTCTCCTACAAGTTATGATGTCCTTGTGTAAAGTGTACTTTAGAACCAACATATCTGAAAATCCAGGGGGCAGGAAAATGCTTCTTTCTTTCTGGTACCAATCCAGCCTCTAAAATGCCACAAGATTTCAGATGGAAAGGCACTGTACTAGCTGAGAAGAATGAAAAGTATCATCACGTGACTTTTAGACCAGGCTCTGTTGAAAAATAGGCTGTATTCACTAAATGATAAAGAAGCTTAGAACACAAAAAACATGCACAGGACACTTTTTTTTTTTTTTGTAAGTATGTTTTCAAAACTATGTGATCCAATCAATTTAAATTAGTATATTGTGTTGCAGATTCTACTTTAAAAAAAAAAAAAAAAAAAAAAAAAAACAGAAGAGAGAGAGAGACTTACTATTCATTGCCTCCAGCTCCCCAAGTTCTATTTGTCTTCGAGTTTTCACAACATCAAATGGTAAAGTTACAAATGCAGCAATCTGAAAACACACGGGACAGAGTTAGATAACCCTCCCATCAGCCAGTGTCAGTGTCCCATACAGACAGGTGGGGCGGAGGAGAGATCTGACTATCCTGGTACAGTTATAGCTTTCATCCACTCATGTTCCTATGGAGGGGAGGACACTCACAGGGGTAAGCACAGTATATTGACACATTTCTGCAATCTTTTCAGAAATATGAACATACAAAACTTACCGAACCAGACATGGCGCCGGCTGTAAAACTGATAGGAACTGTTGGCTCCAGCTTGTTGTATCTCTGACACAGCCACTTCCTGCCAAACTCATAGTTGTACCAGTACATTGCTGGAAACGGAACACAGGGATATCGTTATAGCCTTGCATCTTTTATATTGGTACATAGCAAGAGACAGGACAGAGGGATACGGCAAGAGTCTTGTATCAGATATACCAGTACATACGGGTATAGTCACAGCTTAGTATCAGATATAACAGTACATACGGGTATAGTCACAGCTTAGTATCAGATATAACAGTACATAGGGTTATAGTCACAGCTTAGTATCAGATATATCAGTACATACGGGTATAGTCACAGCTTAGTATCAGATATTCTAGTACATAGGGGTATAGTCACAGCTTAGTATCAGATATTCCAGTACATAGGGGTATAGTCACAGCTTAGTATCAGATATTCTAGTACATAGGGGTATAGTCACAGCTTAGTATCAGATATTCCAGTACATAGGGGTATAGTCACAGCTTAATATCAGATATTCCAGTACATAGGGGTATAGTCACAGCTTAGTATCAGATATTCTAGTACATAGGGGTATAGTCACAGCTTAGTATCAGATATAACAGTACATAGGGGTATAGTCACAGCTTAGTATCAGATATTCTAGTACATAGGGGTATAGTCACAGCTTAGTATCAGATATAACAGTACATAGGGGTATAGTCACAGCTTAGTATCAGATATTCTAGTACATAGGGGTATAGTCACAGCTTAGTATCAGATATTCCAGTACATAGGGGTATAGTCACAGCTTAGTATCAGATATTCCAGTACATAGGGGTATAGTCACAGCTTAGTATCAGATATTCTAGTACATAGGGGTATAGTCACAGCTTAGTATCAGATATTCTAGTACATAGGGGTATAGTCACAGCTTAGTATCAGATATTCCAGTACATAGGGGTACAGTCACAGCTATGTATCAGATATACCAGTACATAGGGGTATAGTCACAGCTATGTATCAGATATTCCAGTACATAGGGGTATAGTCACAGCTGTGTATCAGATATACCAGTACATAGGGGTATAGTCACAGCTATGTATCAGATATACCAGTACATAGGGGTATAGTCACAGCTTAGCATCAGATATACCAGTACTTAGGGACATGGATAGAGAGCCTTGTATCAGATATACCAATACATAGCGATATCATCAGAGCCTTGTATTAGATATAGGAGTATATAGGGATATGATCAGAGCTTTTTTCTCAGATATAGCAGTATATAGGGATATGCTTAAAGCTATGTATCCGATACGGCAGTATATAGGAATATGATCTGAGCTTTGTATGAGATATAACAGTACATAGGGACATGGTTAGAGCCTTGTATCAGATATATCAATACATAGGTATATGGTAAAAGCATTGTATCAGATATACCAGTACAAATGCTATATATAAATACATAAGGACGTGATCATAGCCTTGTATCAGCTATACCAGTACATAGGGATATGGTCAGAGCCTTGTATCAGCTATACCAGTACATAGGGATATGACTGCAGCCTAGCATCAGATATATCAATACATAGGTAAACACATTGTATCATGGTCAGAGCCTTGTATCAGCTATACCAGTACATAGGGATATGACTGCAGCCTAGCATCAGATATATCAATACATAGGTAAACACATTGTATCATGGTCAGAGCCTTGTATCAGCTATACCAGTACATAAGGACATGATCAGAGCCTTGTATCAGCTATACCAGTACATAGGGATATGGTCAGAGCCTTGTATCAGCTATACCAGTACATAAGGACATGATCAGAGCCTTGTATCAGCTATACCAGTACATAGGGATTTGGTCAGAGCCTTGTATCAGCTATACCAGTACATAGGGATATGGTCAGAGCCTTGTATCAGCTATACCAGTACATAGGGATTTGGTCAGAGCCTTGTATCAGCTATACCAGTACATAGGGATTTGGTCAGAGCCTTGTATCAGCTATACCAGTACATAGGGATAAGGTCAGAGCCTTGTATCAAGTGACCATCATCTTTCTATTGCAGTTATCAGGACATGTGATCAGTAGTAAATTGTGGTAAAATATTACAATTAGAAGGAGCAGTAATACATAAGTGGTGTTTATGAATAAATGCTCAGGAATGAAGGCAGGAGAGACTTTTATGCTGTTCACCCGCAAAAATATAGGGCTCAGTTAAAAATAAATAAATAAATAGAAGCTGTATCATGTGTTATGTACATTTTCGTTCTGTCAATCTGCCAAATAAATATACTAGAAGTTGAGATTTAAGGATAAATTTACAGGTAAATCATAAAACCCATTTAGAGAATGGCTGGTGCTGGGAAAAGGATGAGCCACAACATCAAACATAATAGTTATAATGCTGGTTGGAGGACAGGCTGACAGCAGCTTAGCAGCGGTGCAGAAGGAAGGGTGTCATTGAGAAGGCCCCGTGCCCCCCATTGCCGTTTCCACCCCTTCAAGCATTAGCACTACCTTACTGTGAATGCCGAATGTTACAAATACAATATATGTTTACTCTCAGGTAGCACACAGAGTTAGCCATAAGGAACCTACCAGAGAATGGGACGTCTCTCAGCACAGAGGGGCCCCACCCTCTCCAGAGAGACAACCAGCCATCATTGGCCACAGAAATCTCAATGCACTGTCTCAGCTCCCAATATGACAGAGGCCGATATTGCATCTTGGTCCTGACCAGTTCCAATGGACTTATTAAAGTTACTGCGCCCACTGCAAAATAAAACATGGCTTCATGAGCACCAACTGTACATACCATGGTTTTAGACAACCTAAAATACTAACATATATACCAGTCCACTAGGTGACATGCACATGTGGTGCAATCCTTAGTATGTATACTGGGTGCAGGAAAAATTCAGGTTCCACACAATACAGATACTCCAAAAGATGTTTTTTGAACTTCACGTTAATGCAATCTTCTTGTGTTATGCATAACGGTACAAATGCTTTCACTAAGTACATTATACAAAATAGGGAAAGCCCTTTGTGCTCTGTTCTTGCTTTTGTACTGTTATAAATACAGATTCAACTTAACTTGGAGTTCAAAAACACATTTTGATTTTTTTATACATACATTTTATATATATATATATATATATATATACACACACACACACATTATATATATATATACACACACACACACATTATATATATATATACACACACACACACACACTTACTATGTATACACACACTCACACTTTTTTGAAGTCTTCCCTGCCTTCCAATTGTTCTCTTGTGTAGTCACCCTGCCTGTCACACACTCTTCCATTGAAGGCTACAAGCATGTCAACATACATTGAACATGCATGATCCACTGATGTCACTGCAAGAAACCTGCCCTGAGACACCATGCAGAGCAGTCACTAGAATTGCTGGAGTTTATGTACACAGGAAGCACCAATGCATGACTTAAAATGTTACTAACCCCACAGCAGTAAAATCAGTCTGTATATGCAGTAAAGCATGCTTGTTATACTCACTGTGGAATCTAAGGGGTAATACTCATTGGCAAGTCTGCACATGCTCAGTTTGGTGTGTATTGATAGAGAACTTTTTGTGTGTATGTGATCAGCACAGGGCCGAATCGGAGCCGCCAGAAGATCCAGGGGTCATGCAGCCTCATAGGACAGCCAGAGGAGAATGAAAACTCCTACAAGATTAACCAGTGCTTGGCCAGACACTGATAGTAGTCACAAGATTGCTATATACTGCTGACGAGAAAAGGTATTTAGCAGTTTATATTTACTAAAATAATTGAATTTCTATGTTCTTCATACTGTGGAAGACCAGGGTTTAGGAAGGCAAGGTCCTGGGTTTAGTAACATTTTAATGCAAAAATATTTTTTTAATAGAAAACCACTGCAACTGTTTACAATACACAGATCATACATGTTATTCAGGTAATGTTTACTTTAAAATATTCTCTTCTATGTGAAGTTGATCATTGTCAAGAACGGGCCACAATCCTTACATCTGGCAGTGGCTCCAGAGATGAGGGACGCAGTTTCGGCATTATTCACGCGATGGATCAGTAAGTCTCGCAGTTGGTCATAACAGGTGAAGTAGATGACCGTAGCCGGTATGGCCATTACTCTGTGATAAAGACAGAGACATCAAAACAAAATCAAAATGGTGACCATGGGCACCCAATAATAAAAGATCAGCATCAACCTGAATTCCCCATTTAAGTTTGTAATATTCTGATGGAAGAAATTATATACAAAAGTGTATCCTGAAGTTGGATTCTGCTAAAGACATTGGGGGAGATTTACTAATACCGGAGAGTGCGAAATCTAGTGCAGCTCTTCATAGCAACCAATCAGCTTCCAGGGTTTATTGCCAAAGCTTAATCGAACAAGCTGGATTGGCTACCATGAACAGCTGCACCAGTTTTAGTAATTGTGTGTGTGTGTGTTTCCTTTTAAAAACATCACTTATAAAATCTAGATTCTTTTTTCATTTGGACACAAATAATTTGGTGCCCTGGAAATTTGACATTTGAGTATTTTCACCAAAATGTTGTTTATTACTGTGGTAATACAGTATATGTCACTGTGAAATTTAGAATTTCCCTTGAAGGTTAGGGATAGCATATTGGTTAGGTTCTGGTATGCCTACTTTTAGTTCTAGATAAACTGGAGAAGAATTAGAACTCCTCAGGGTTTTACTAATATCTAGGGATTCATTGAAGAAATCGTTTCTCCATAAGCTACATATTCTCCAGAGAACCCAGTAACTTGAGTAAAACTGCTCTTTTCATCTATCTATCTGATGGAGTATGTAGGTAAGTATGCATCTAGAACCAACAAACAAAAATTCCCAGCTCACTTACCAGCCAGCCTGCAACAAACTGAAACAGTGTACTGCAGTCCTAACTCTATAATTTGAGATTCTCCTGAGTTGGAGCAAATATATAATAATGGATGGATTAAAGGGCAGGTGTGCCTGGTGGAGGGAGCCCACCCCACATTAACGTAGAATAGATGCATTGGACACCCAGCAATTATTATTATTATTGTACAGTATTTATAAAGCGCCGATAGTTCGCTCAGCGCTGTACATTACAGAGGGGGACAAAACATGTGACAGAACAATACCAATACAATGCAAAACATGAGGGGATCGAGGGCCCTGCTCTTTCGAGCTTACAATCTAGGAGGGAGGGGATGGTGGCACAGGAGGAGAAAGCTGTGGGGAATGGAGTGGTAGGAAGAGTGGAGGAGGTCGGCAAGTTAGCAGGGGGTGGGGTAGGCTTTCCTGAAGAGATGGGTTTTCAGGGTGCGCCTAAAGAAGAGGAGAGTAGGTGATAATCTGATGGGTTGGGGCAGGGAGTTCCAGAGGATGGGTGACACCCTGGAGAAATCCTGGAGGCGGGCATGGGAGGAGGAGACCAGGGAACTAGAGAGAAGGAGGTCTTGTGAGGAGCGGAGTGTGCGTGCTGGGTGGTACTTGGATATTAGGTCAGTGATGTAGTTCGGGGCAGTATGGTGGACGGCTTTGTACGTCAGCGTTAGGATTTTGAATTTGATCCGTTGCGCAATCGGAAACCAGTGGAGGGATTGGCAGAAGGGGGTGGCAGAGATGGAGTGGTTGTAAAGGTGAATGAGTCTGGCTGCCGTATTCAGGATCGACTGAAGCGGGGATAGCCAGCGGCGAGGCAGGCCAGTGAGGAGGGAGTTGCAGTAATCGAGTCGTGATATGATGAGGAGTGGATGAGTTGTTTAGTGGTTTCTGGGGTTAGGAAGGTGCGGATTTTGGCGATGTTGCGGAGGTGGAGTCTGCACGAGCTTGTTAAAGATTGGACTTGGGGCTGGAAGCAATAGCAAAATGGCAGAAAATGTATCCAGTGCATCACCTCACCAATTCACCAACAGTACAAACAAATGGCAACCGCCCCAACATATAACTGGTCTTTGCAGCAAGGAGCACATGGAAGGGCAAGACGTGTCAATAAACAAAAAACAAAAATTCCTAGCTTACTTACCAGCCAGCCTGCAACAAACCAAATTGACCCTGTCTAACAGTTCACATTAAAACCAAGGGATTTAGTTTGCATACTGATATAAGGACTGTGCATAGAAGGATCAATGCCAACATATATATAATTATTTTTCTCCATATTCTTCAGGGAACCCAGTAACTCGAGTAAAACTGCCCTTTTCATCTATCTGATAGAGCATGTAGGCAAGTATGCATCTAGTGCATGGGGGGGTTACTTAATTTTGTACAAAGAGTCTAGGCAGGAAGGATAACTAAACTTTATTTAAAAGACCAGTTATCCTTTAACATAAACCTATTATTGGTTTGCCTCCTGTGCACTATGGCAGTGAAGAGTGAACCACAAGACTGGTCAAACAGATTTAGACTAGGACTACATGGACTGCTGTGATGGCTTGTCAGTGAAAGATTTAAATAAATATGTTACAAAGACAGTTTAGGTAACATCATCCTAAATATGGTTTTCTCACAAAGTCGTACTGCAAGCGAGAGAGTGAAATAATAGTTTGAGGAATCTTAAAAACAGAACCAGTTCAAAGGACAAAACAGCTTAGAGTTTCACCTTTGAAATCCTGTTTGTTTAATGACTCTTATATAATCTAATCAACAGCACATGTTGTGTTATAAAGGTCATTTATGGAACCCAACCACTGAATCCAACATTTTCTTTTATGATCAAAACAGGTCATAAGGGGACAAAGTTTGGGGGAAAACAACATCAGTGGCCCAGGCAACTGAAGTTTTCAAAATTAGCCACTACAGCTATGGAAAAACATATTCACCATTTCCAGCTTTAAATAACTTAGGTAGTTTATCACTATAACTATGGAAAGCACTTAATCAGGGGTCTCCTTGCCGCCACTTGTAAAAGAAAAGGGGGAGGGGCTGTCACAGTGCACCCCCACCCCCCTGTGCCTGCTGACTGCTTTGTCCCTGGAAAGCTGTCCCTGTCTGCTGATCGCTGGTTGTCCCTGGAAAGCTGAGTGCTGCATGAGTCCCTGTCTACTGGCTGCTGCCGCCCCCCTGAAATCGTGAGTGTTCCTGCACATGGTCTGCTGGTTGCCCCTGGAAACTATCTGCCATGAGTGCCCCTACAAGCCGCATGTGGCGGAGAGTGTGGAACTGTCCTTATTGTGTGCCCCTTGCCCGGACTGCTTGAACGGGTGCCCATATCACCCCTGCCTGGACTGCCCCACTGAATGCCCATATTTCCCCTGCCTGTATGCCCCATTGAATCCCCATATTGCCCCTGCCTGGACTGCCCCATTGAATCCCCATATTGCCCCTGCCTGGACTGCCCCATTGTACGCCCATATTCTCCCTTGCCTGGACTGCCCCATTGTACACCCATATTCTCCCTTGCCTGGACTGCCCATTGAATCCCCATATTCTCCCTTGCCTGGACTGCCCCATTGTACGCCCATATTCTCCCTTGCCTGGACTGCCCCATTGTACACCCATATTCTCCCTTGCCTGGACTGCCCCATTGAATCCCCATATTCTCCCTTGCCTGGACTGCCCCATTGTACACCCATATTCTCCCTTGCCTGGACTGCCCCTATTGTGTGCCCGGGTTATCGTAGCTACCTGGACTGCCTCACTGGGTGCTCGGACCATCGCTACCTGAATCGCCCTATCCTGAGCCGGATTATCACTGTTTGGACTCCTCCCCCTCTTCCCCCCCTTTTGGGTACCCGGATGCTACCCTTGTTACCCTGATTGTCTCTCCTACTTCAATAAAACTTTGTGTGTTTATCATCCTCCGTGTGCGTTCTGTCCCGCCTACACTTCTGTCACAGTGACTCTTTGCAGAGCCGCATGCTCCAGTGTCTCCAAGGTTTTAGAGACTTCTGGTAGAAGTCTGTCTTCAAAAATATTATGGATCATTCACAGTACATATAATGAACTATTGTATTATGCTCTGGGGCATAGGAGGGGTCAAGGGGAGACTTAAACAGAATTGCCCGGGCAAAGCCATTTGTGGGAGGATACAGCATGGTGTGGCAGCAGTAACTAAATAGAGTTTGGTTGCAGTAAACAGAAACTATATTGAAGGCAAATTTCAACGGTACAACAGCCCAGCGAGAAGGCACCTGACTGAGAACACTCACAGCATATCTTGGCAATGTAGAACTGAGCGGGTCTTGAGCCCGATGACAGCGTCTGTCTCAGAGGGCGGAATGCGCCCTGGCCAGTCTGCACCCAAGAGGGAGGATCCCAGGAAGAATGGCGTATCCCTAGCTTGTTCTATTCATCTGGAACCTTTCCCTATCACTAGTCACTTTCCCTGACATACGGGTGACCTGTCCATATTCTGTCCACTCGCAAAATGTGTGCCAAGCCCGGGACCAAGGATCTTAAATAGATTCTGTCTAACCCAAGATGGCCGTCAGAGTTACACGAGGCAGCAGCATCTAACCAGTTGGCTTCCCCAGTAACCCAGAAACCATGGATGTTCCTCTGCAATGACTCTGCAGTTGAGTGTCACTTGCAGTGGAGAAAATAAACTGCACCTGCTTGCACCCTCTCTTGGCACCACAAGAGTTCTGAGTGACACAGCACAGATCCTTGTACCCAGGGGTTAGAGCTACAAAAGCCTAAACTTTTTTAGTTTGGATAGAATGTGAAATGGTTAGAACCTCTTTTTAGTGTTTATTGATGTCTGTTTCCCCACTGGAAGATTCACCCCTCTATTTTTCCTGGTGAGTTGAAGGGAAATCTCCCAAGAGAGAGACCTGTTCCAATGGCAACTATCTGAGGCTGCCCATACACCTATCAAAATTGGTCTGGTCCAGCTAGGTACAATGACCCAGCAGGGTGGGAATTGGTCAGTAGCTGAAGGAAAACAAAAATAATGGAGGGTGTTTCTTTTTTCTTTCTCTTGTGTTTTTTGGACAAAGAATTGAAAGGAAATCTCTGTACTCACAGGGGTCTTAACCACTGGGCTATAGCTATAACTAAAATAAATTTTTGGGCTTTAAATAAAGTTACTACATCAAAATATAAATACCAATATCCATAGATGTTTAAAAGGAAAGGAATATAGAGCGTGCCGTGACACCCGTTATATTTTTGAAGGTGCACCTTCATCCTGCAATCAATAAGCCCATCATCCTTATCCTTCCTTTACTATGCTGGGAGTCACTGATCCAGGACATTACATGCATATAAGGGGTCTGACACCAGATACAGGCATGTTTGTTCCATGTCAACTACTCTACAGGTCCAGAAAGAAGGAGAAGGGTGACAACCCTGGAACTTGCACCTTAAAAAACATGTCATCAGTATCAGTTTCTGTAATTTTATCCTTGCAGATTCCATTAAAGAAGTTTGTATTTTGCATTCTCTTTATGGAGTCAGCCAACTTAATACCTTATAGAGAATATCAATACATTTTTTTTATGTATAAGAGTATATTATCTATTAAAACCGCTCAATATATTACAGTTATGTTTTTTGAGATATTATGTATTACAGTGTTGGAGGAAGTCCACTCCAGAGGGATCGCACTCCTTCATTCCTAACAATCTGGACAAATGCGTCCTGCAGAAAGAAGACCAACATAATCTGAATTTTGGAGAAAACAAGAATTTAAAGCGGAGTTCCAGTCACAGGGGTTAGAGCTACCAATAGTAAATATAGGTATTGATAGATGTGAATATAAACCTCTTATAGGTCCTATTGAAGTCACGAGTCACCACTGTGAAGATTCACCAACCTGTCGACGGCAATCTCCCAAGTGGTGACCTGCACTTCCGGCGTGACGCCATCTTGGTGCACCTTTTTTGATCCTGCTAGGTACACCCAGCAAATTGCAGTATCTCCATACAAGCCGTTTGCCATGTAGGGTGTTTCCTTCTTTCCTTGTTTGTGTATCTGCTTTGTACAAATTGAAAGGAAATACACTATGACAGATTGGGTGTTAACCACCTCATAGCTATAACAAAAAATAAATAGCGGCTTTGACATCGAGGAGAGTGTCTTCCATTACCACTGGCCATGGAGGAATTCTGTCCCACCCGTTATATTTTTGAAGGCCAATCTTCATCCTGCAAAAGAGTCCCATCATCCTTAGGATTCCGTGGTGATCTACACTTACGCTGTGGCCCTGTCCAGGGTCATACAGTGGAGGTGAGAGGCCATTGTTCCAGCAAGACTGCCCAGGTCCGTTTTTTTAAAGTGTGCTGTGTGACACCTGGAACCCCTCTAATATAAACTATGGACACTTTTTTATCCTGCAATTAACCAGTGTATTTTGGAACTGTAATTTATGCTCATCCCTAGGTGGATTTTTTATGTCAATATCTATATTTAATATCTGCTGCTTTTATTTTAGAGTTTTAGTACTTTGTTTTTTAGCGCTGAATCAATTTTAAAGATTCTATTCATATGAATGCTCTTACATGTTTGGTAACAAAATATATTAACTAATCCATACAAATGCGTCAGAAGGACATAATCTGAATTTTGGAGAAAACAAGAATTTAAAGCGGAGAGTTCCAGTCACATTGTAACAAAATAAAAGTCAGCAGCTACAAAAATTCTAACTGCTGACTTTTGAAAAAACAGCCACTTACCTGTCCCTCGATCCCGCGGTGTTCTCCCTTCCCTGCAGCCCATTTTTCCAGCCGTCTTGTGTTCCAGGCGCCGGCATCTTCAGTGTGGGCACCCGGCTGTGACAGCTTGCGGCTTCACAGCTGGGTACCCACTGCAAAAGCGCGATTAGCTCTGAGCTTCCTGAATGGCCCCGTCATCTTCTCGGACCTGTCACGTGTCCCAGAAGACTACAGGGAGGGAGGGTAGGAGGACAACTTTCACTTCCGATCGCAGCAGAAGTGGGAGCGGGTACCTGCCAATTTCGGGTACCTGCTTCTTTCCCCCCCCACGCTCCCCAAAGGTGCCAATCCTTAATGGGGAGCAGGGGACCAGCCTTTAATGTGGAACTACCCCATTTGGGTGGAGCTCCACTTTAAAGGAGATGCAAACCCTAACCTGAACAACATTTAATTTGTGTTTAGATTGGTTGTAAAGACTCAAAGTTTTTTACCTTCATGCATTCTTTGCAGCAGGAGGGTAAAAAAACCTTCTGTGTGCAGCAGCTCCCCCCAGCCCCTCCAAATAGTAAACTGAGCCTCATCTCGATCCAGTGATGTGCACAAGAGCAGCGGCTCTCCAGGGTGTCTCCCTCCTCTTTGGCTGAAACAGCAGCGGGAGCCATAGGCTCCCTCTACTGTCCTTCACAGCCAGTGAACCAATGCGGAGAGAGCGGGGGTGGGACCAAGTCACACTCTGTATCTGAATACACAGACAGAACAGTAACTTGGGAGCGAGACTACTCAGGTGGCCCCATAGCAAGATGCTTGCTATAGGGGCACTCAGCAGGAGGGAGGGTCCAGGAGTGCCAGCAGGGGACCCGAGAAGAGCAGGATCAGGGCTGCTCTGTACAAAACTGCTCTGTGCATTATTCCTGGATTTTCAGGGAGACTTAAATAGAATTGCCCGGGAAAAGCTGTGTGCGATATGGTGTAGCGGCATGCGGCAGCAGTAACTACACAGTTTGGCTGCAGTAAACAGAACTTGTATTGAAGGCAAAGTTCAACGGTACAACAGCCTAGCGGGAAGGCACCTGAGAACACTCACAGTATATCTTGGCAAAGTTGAACTCAGCGGGTCTTGAGCCTGCTGACAGCATCTGTCTCAGAAAGCAGAATGTGCCCTGGCCAGTCTGCACCCAAGAGGGAGGATTCTAGGAAGGATGAGGTGTCCCCAGCCTGCACCTACTTGTCTGGAACCTTTCGCTATCGCTAGTCACTATCCCTGACAGACGGGTGACCTGTCCCTATCCTGCCCACTCGCAAAATGCGCGCCAAGCCTGGGAGCCAGGATCTAAAATAGACTCCGTCTAACCCAAGATGTCTTGATAAATTGTTGGCCAATATCATTTGACATAAAAAATTTAAACTACCATCATTTTATTCTCTAGGATCTCTGCTTTAAGTAAATAAACGTGTTAAGTACGGTAATCTTCAGGCTTAAAATAATTTTTTAGACACATGTGCAAAAACAGCTCAGGGTAAAGGATTGATCATTACTTCCAAAATTTCACTTGTCAATGTTAATAGAGACTTAAAAAGCCTGTCTGCCTGCAGGACTGCATGTAGACAGCCCTTTAGTTCTTCCACTAGAAGAAAGGCCACGCATGTGCAAAACCGCATGGCCCCCAGATTGGTAGGGGAAAGTGCCCACTAAAGGCTGCAACACCTGCTCTGGTTCAGCCATTGGTCTGAGGAATGTACAGAGGGGTAATGAGAGCGGAGCTGTTGGGCTTTGGTAGTATACTTATCCTTTAAACATGGTTCTTACCGCTGTTCCTGTGAATCTTCTGGGTGGTGCCTTATACCACGCTTTGCTGTTTCCATTCTCACATACACAGAGATGGTCCATGAGACCGTTGCAATATACAAAGCACTTCCCTTATAATGATACAAAGACACAACATTGAAACAGAATGCCAGTCCCATCTGAAATACACGTAAAGTATGTGGACTGTTTGACCTGCCAGAGGATATATAGTTCACTTTAGCTGCTCCTGCAAATGACCCATCCTCTGTCACAGGGCATAGAGACCATGGTTACACCACTACTGTCTACTACGGCAACTGCCTGCTCACTAGACTATGAATGACTATTATCACAACTCAAGGGCTACGTCTCATTCCTCTACACCAATTTTAGTAAGGTTCCCAATTTTAGTCCTCATTTATCCAGGTCATGTTTTCAGGATTTCCTTCACCTTGCAGAGGCGATTTACATCAATCTCAATGGCTTGGTATTTATGAGAGCTATTTTATCTATTCTCAAACAATGATGTGTTGGTAGTACTTAAAGTGTTACTAAACCCACAACAGTGCAATCAGTCTGTATATGCAATAAAGCTTGCTTGTCATGCTCACGGTGGAACCTAAGGGATTAATCCTCTGCATTGTGTAAAAAGGCTGTTTGATCCCGACTTCTCCGCTCCTCCTCTTGTTCAAATGTCAACTTCTTATCTCCTGATAAGAAAGACTGAGCTGTATCCATTCTGCACATGCTCAGTTTAGTGTGTATTGCTAATGCCCAGAGAAAAGGGAGAAGAGCGAGCATTTCAAATCCCTGGCCCGGTTGCATGGGCACAGAAAGCATCTCCAGAGGTACGTTCAGTGGGGACTGGTGAGTGGGGAGGGTGTACATTGGTAGTTATTATTTTTATTATTATTATAATACAGCATTTATATAGCGCCAACAGTTTGTGCAGAGCTTTACACTATAAAGGGTACACTAAAATACAGTTCAATACAGAAGGAATAGGAAGGCCCTGATCATGGAGCTTACAATCTAAAAGGGAGGGGACGATGGTACAAAAGGTAATAGCTGCAGGGGTTGATTTGATTGTGACTCAAATACGTTTTTTTAGGTTGAGGTAGGGTAGGCTTCCCTGAATAAATGAGTTTTTAAGGATTGCCTAAAGGCAGAAAACATGAAAAAGTAAACTAACACTTTAATGACCGAGAATAGGAACCACTGCTCTACAATGTCTAGGCACTCCCTCCTCCAGCTCCTAGTGCCTGAAAACAAGTTAGCCTGGCAGGCTTGTCCAACCTTCCACGGTTAGTCCAGTTTCTGCTATACAGAGGATTCAGGAAAAACAATACATTTTCAGTACTAGCAGAATTTTAACATATTTTATATTATAAATACATAACTGGTCAGATGGATGTTGTTTTATATTTGTTTAGCATTTTGATTTTAGGGAACGTATCGTGACAGTCTATGCAGGAATCTGGGTGCAAGTCTTGAATTATTATAACTAACTGGGTAGGTTTTTAGCTGAGGAAGATTCCCCTTGGGATTACGTGGAGTTTTGCATGAATTGGGCATAAAATGTGCTCTGAACGTCATCAAAGTTACCACAATAGAAGAACACAGTCTGCTGAACATAATACTACACAAAAATTAGATGTTGCCATGGTTTAATTGCACATAACATGTAAACATTCACAGTGCAGGGAGGAAAAAGTATGTGAGGCCCTAGCTTAATGACTTCTCCCAGAGTTAATTGGAGCCAGGAGTGAGCCAACTTTGACTCCAATCAGTGTGATGATATTGGATGTGTTGCTGACAGTTGTCCTGCCCTTAAAAAACACACACCTGTTTTGGGTTTACTGGTTTCAAGAAGCACTGTCTGATGTGAACCATGCCTCGCAGAAAAGAGCTCTCAGAAGACCTACGATCAAGAATTGTTGACTTGCATGAAGCTGGAAAGGGTTACAAAAGTATCTCCAAAAGCCTTGATGTTCATGTGTCCACGGTAAGACAGACTGTCTACAAATGGAGAAAGTTTAGCACTGTTGCTACTCTCCCTAGGCTTGGTCGTCCTGTAAAAATGACTGCAAGAGCACAGCGCAGAATGCTGCATGAGGTAAAGAAGAATCCCAGAGTGTCAGCTAAAGACCTACAGAAATCTCTGGCACATGCTAACATTTTTGTTGACACATCTACAATAAGGAAAACATTAAACAAGAATGGAGTACATGGGAGGAGACCACGGAGGAAGCCATTGCTGTCCAAAACGAATATTGCAGCACGTTTGAAGTTTGCAAAAGAGCACCTGGATGTTCCACAGCACTACTGGCAAAATATACTGTGGACAGATGAAACCAAGATTGAGTTGTTTGGGAAGAACACACAACACTATGTGTGGAGAGAAAAAGGCACAGCACACCAACATCAAAACCTCATCCCCACTGTAAAACATGGCGGAGGGAGCATCATGGTTTGGGGCTGCTTTGCTGCCTCAGGGCCTGGACGGATTGTTGTCATTGATGGGAAAATGAATTCCAGAGTTTATCAAGACATTTTGCAGGAAAACGTATGACCATCTGTCTGCCAACTGAAGCTCCACAGAGGATGGGTGATGCAACAGGACAATGACCCAAAGCATACAAGTAATTCAACAAAACAGTGGCTGCAACAGCACAGAATACGCCTTCTGGAGTGGCCCAGTCAGAGTCCTGACCTCAACCCGATTGAAATGCTGTGGCATGACCTTAAGAGAGCGATTCACACCAGACATCCCAAGAATATTGCTACACTGAAACAGTTTTGTGCAGAGGAGTGGTCCAAAATTACTCCAGATCGTTGTGCAGGTCTGATCTGCAACTATGGGAAACGTTTGGTTGAGGTTATTGCTGCCAAAGGACGGTCAACCAGTTATTAACTCCAAAGGTTCACATACTTTTTCCTCCCTGCACTGTGAATGTTTACATGTTATGTGCAATTAAACCATGGCAACATCTAATGTTTGTGTAGTATTATGTTCAGCAGACTGTGTTCTTCTATTGTTGTGACTTTGATGACGTTCAGAGCACATTTTATGCCCAATTCATGCAAAACTCCACGTAATCCCAAGGGGTTCACATACTTTTTCTTGCAACTGTAGTTAGGCTGAAAAGGGACACATATCCATTGAGTCATTATAGCTCAATTCTTTTCTCATGGCCTCCAAGTCCCTGACAATTTATTTGTAATTACGTACCTTTCTTGCTTCTTACGAAGATGACTCTAGAGCTGGGAAGTCTGACAATTGCTGCCCTGTCAGCTGCCTGACCACATGATAATATAAGGGGGTTGTCCACCAACTGATTGGCAATTACAATATGAAACAAGAAAGTGTGGTAGTTAAAGTGGTTGTAAACCTCTTATACCAAATATGAACAAAGCATAGCCTTCTATACTATATGTTATGTGAACACCATAGAATCTGGTCCCCCCCCCACCCCTCCAGAACACAGCAAGTGATTGACAGCCTCAGCTGTGCATGTTTCCTGAGCAGACCGTGTAGGGGGTGGGGGTGCATTTCCTCCACTCAGGTCCCAGATTACACTTAGCTCTCCTTTATGTGCTGGGCACTGTGTGATGTCAGATTACTGCCCCCTGGAGCTGAAAAACAGCCTTTGATTTGTGCATTTTAGAAGGCTGTAGAGAAGAGAAGGCTGTTGATAAACAGGTACAACTTCTGTAGGAGGATTTCTTTAAGATCTGTGTATCACCTAAGTCTAGTCACTTCAGTGGGTATATGTAAGGGATTACAGCCACTTTAAAAGAGGTAAATATTCTCACACTGGACAGGTATATTTGCTTGCACTCGTTACAACTGGTACACATGGGCCAAATATCGGCTGGTACAACAGAAACTGGCCGACATTCAGCCAATGTGTACAGTAGCCTGTCTGACAGAAGCTGATCTGGCTTCTGGCGAACAGGCATGCTGGAAAACCCACATCTGATCATCATTAGATATAACAGAAGGTTTTTGTCGGTATATTTAACAGACTAAGAGGTAGAAGATAAATTAAGTTGGTTGTTTGAGTTTTCCTACACTTTACAAGTGAATTTTATTACTACAGTGAACAGAATTTACCTTTGGTAAAGGGCCTGTTTTGAGCCTGAAGTCGAATCTTGACAACATCCAGAGGTGTCACTGCATGAACAAACACAACCAATTATGATTATGAGCATATATTATGGAATATACCTGTAGTTTCCCACCTGGGGTACACATCAGGACGTTTAAAGTGTTTACTAAACCCACAACAGTAAAATCAGTCTGTATATGCAAAAAAGCATGCTTGCTATACTCACTGTGGAACCTAAGGGGTTAATCCTCTGCATTGTGTAAAAACGCTGTTTGATCCTGTCTTCTCTGATCCTCCACTTTTTCCAGTGTCCCCCTCTTATCTCCTGATAAGACATATCATGTGGAGTCACTCTGCACATGCTCAATTTGGTGTGTGTGTTGCTACAGAGACCGGAGACTGGATATAGCGAATGCGGGGTCCGGGAAGACCGGATATAGCGAATGCGGGGTCCGGGGAGACCGGATATAGTGAATGCGGGGTCCGGGAAGACCGGATATAGCGAATGCAGGGTCCGGGAAGACCGGATATAGCGAATGCGGGGTCCGGGGAGACCGGATATAGCGAATGCGGGGTCCGGGGAGACCAGATATAGCGAATGCGGGGTCCGGGGAGACCAGATATAGTGAATGCAGGGTCCTGGGAGACCAGATATAGTGAATGCGGGGTCAGGGGAGACCAGATATAGTGAATGCAGGGTCCGGGGAGACCAAATATAGTGAATGCAGGGTCCGGGGAGACCAGATATAGTGAATGCAGGGTCCAGGGAGACCAGATATAGTGAATGCAGGGTCCGGGGAGACCAGATATAGTGAATGCAGGGTCCGGGGAGATCAGATATAGTGAATGCAGGGTCCGGGGAGACCAGATATAGTGAATGCAGGGTCCGGGGAGACCAGATATAGTGAATGAAGGGTCCGGGGAGACCAGATATAGTGAATGAAGGGTCCAGGGAGACCAGATATGTTTAGTAACACTTTAAGGATATGCAAAAAAAAAAAGAAAAAATGGTGGTGAAAGGCAGGAGCATACCTGTTACTGTAAAAAAAGTGGAAAATCCTCTTTGAAAATGGCAATAGAGATTCACCCATCATATTTAAAGTCAAACAAAGTTCACCCAGGAGCCGCACTACACTCACATTCACAGGGTGAATTCTATTTGGAAATGAATGCCACAAAATACAGATGAATGACTGTCCAGAAAACATTCGCTATAAGGAATCCTATACAACGACACCTTTTAGCATTGTGTGCATGTGAGGCCAAAGCAGAGGGGAACCCCAAAACACCTTCTTTATTGTCCTCTCTAGGATCATTACCTGACAAATGCCTCTCCCTTATTGAAGCTTGGCAGATGAAGATCATCAGAATAACATTTTCTAAGTTGCCCATCCCCAAATGAAAAGGTTGATTCGAACCCATCCATGATGACCACATTTTGGGGAGGGCATCCAGACTAGACAGCAGAGTGAGCACCAGGGGTGCTTAACCTTTTGAAGAGCAGGGGCCACTTAAGTGATTTGGTAACCTGTTGCAGCCACAATGGAATAAAATGGATTAGAATTTCAGTTTTTTTATATTTTGAATAGCATGATGAACATTTTCCTCCAGCAGCCGCTGAATGCAGGTGGGAGGGAGAGAAGGAGAAGCCGGCAATCAGCAGTTTTAGGAGGAAATTGGAAAGGATCGGTTCTTGTATATGCCGCCCCTCCTGTCCAATTGTGAACCAGAACATGACAGGAAGGCCATGCGGGCCCCTTGAAGCATGATGCAGGGTCGCCATTGCGCTCCCTGATGCTACACCAGTGATTGGGGGGAGGGGGGGGTAAAAACACATCTCAGGAAACATGGGGACACTTTGGGTCTTACCAAACAGTGATGTAAGCAAAGCTCCAGCTGAGGAGGCCATGATCTGCTGTAGAGGTGTGATGTTGGTAGATGCAAGCACTGATTCATCCTGTTCCTTCATATTTCTGCAGAAGGAAAAAAAGAGATCAAGAAAGAATCCATGAAGAAGTCGGCTCCATATTAGGCAAGGGTGCAAAATCTATGACTCCTCCACCACACTCTGTAGGCCTTAAAGTGAAACTCCAGCTTTACTGAACAACATTGTCTGCAGATATCAATTTTGAAAATGTTTTTTTGTGTAGATCTACCTGAATCACATGGAAGAGATCAAAGAGTGCAGCTTGTCTTTTTCTTTAACCTAGCAAAGCCTCATTAAAAAAATAAGATTTCAGGGATCAGTAGTATGTGATGTAGAGTTTAAGGTCAGTAGTATGTAATGCAGATTGTAGGAGTCAGTATTGTGCAATGCAAAGTACAGGGGGTCAGTAGTATGGAATGCAGATTGTAGGAGTCAGTATTGTGCAATGCAAAAGTACAGGGGTCAGTAGTATGGAATGCCAAAAAAAGGGGTCAGTAGTAATTTGGAGCGCAGGGGTCAGTAGTATACAATGCCGAGTACAGGGTCAGTAGTAACTCGGGAGTACAAAAGTCAGTAGTTTATAATGCAGATTGCAAGGGTCAGTAGTATGCAATACAGAGTATAGAGGTTGGTAGTAAATAGCGTAGATTGCAGGGGTCAGTAGTACGCAATGCAGAGTATAGGGGTCAGTAGTATGTAATGCAGAGTGCAGGAGTCAGTAGTAAGTAATGCAGAGTGCAGGAGTCAGTAGTAACTCAGAGTGCAGGGTCAGGAGTAAGTAACTCGGAGTGCAAGGGCCAGGAGTAAGTAACTCGGAGTGCAAGGGTCAGGGTAATTGGGGAGTGCAGGGGTCAGCTGCATGAATTGCAGAGTTTAAATTTAAAGAGTAACACCGAGCCAGAGGTCAGTAGTATGTAATGCACTGTGCAGGGGCCAGGACTAACAAGCCAATCCCCCTCTTCCAATGCACCCCACCAAACTAAAATCGCCCACAGCACAGATTCCTCCCTCCCTCTGTAAAATTTACTCATTCGACTTGAGATGCAGTGGCATCTGGCAGAGTGAGGGAAGTCTCCCCAGGTCTCCTCTTGGTTGTGTCATATGACATGTCAGAGCTGAGGAGGAACCTAAGACTTCCTTTGGCCCTGAAATGCCTACTGCCACTTTGATCTGAGGTCTGAGAGGTGGCAGCAGCTTCTAAAGGAGGGGTGGCAAAGTGGAGCCACAATCATCCTGTGCTGCAGACTGCCGCAGACTTTTCTCCTAAATAATAAGGATTTTAAAATTACATGAGCTCTTTAGTGTTCTGTGTAGGGGGTGTACTAATGGGTGTTTTTTTCTGCCTATCCCGGAGTTCTTTAAGTTTAAAAAGTGACGTGAGGGGTTAGAGCCCCTATTAGGTTAAAATAATTACCTCCACATGGCAGATTCTGTAAGTAAAGGCAGCTGTAGCACCTCTTGAATGCCTGCCAACCACTGTTATACTACCCTCTGAAAAGCAATCTACCATTAAACAATTTTCAGAGGGCGGTAAGCTTTACTGCCAGTGTGCAAGAGCCCTTACAGTTGTCAGCAGAGCAGGAGGTGAGGGAAAACCTTCCAATGGTGACACCAGTTCCATGATTTCTGCTCACTTTGGAAAGATTCCTTCTCATTTCCTGTTGGGTCTCTGGGACAAGACGTGCAGGGAGATCTAACCGATGGGACACTGACTGCAAAAAAACCCAAAACAAAACAAAAACAACCCCACACAACTGACAGGGTTCTAATTTTTCCATATTATTTTTAAAGCAAAAAAAAAATTTTTTGTCGCTTTAAATACACTTTAATGTGCAGACATACTGTACTTTCATTATTTCAGGAAAGCTTTCTCACATTAAAAATGAGGGGCCCCTGCAAGGACAAGGATTTGCCATCACAGATCCTTCACTCTACCCATTGTCCTTGAATGCCAAGGGCAGCTGGAAACTCTGTAATGACTAGTTTTAGACATGCTGCCTCAGAATAAACAAGCCTCTGGAAGAAAACCTGTCTATGGACTCATTCACACCACATGCATTGCTCGACACAGTCCCAACACATGGACCAGGCAAGAAGCCCCGTTCTCCATTTTGATGTCGTGTTGGTGTACACTGTGAAAAAAAAATGAGACAGACAGCATCTTCTCGCACTGTATTGTGGCCTGCTGTAGCAAGTGTTAAAGGATAAGTTCAACTTTTAGACAAAAATAATACATATTTTTGCAGGTAAAAAATATGTGCATTTATTATTTTTGTCTACAGTAGCCTGGAAAGCATTGCACCAGCGATCAGTAGATGACAGATGCCATGCAAGGCTCCTGCAGACCTGTCAGAATATCTGGTTTCCGTACGGGATGCATGAGCAAGCAGATATTCTGACAGGAAACTTCAATGGACTACCACAGGGCTCCACAGCACCATCGTAGTTCATTGAAAACTACAAGCTGACAGCTGCTAAGGCTGCTGGGACTTACAGTTCATTCATTCATGGAAGTCCGTGAACGAATGATGCGGCTGTGTGGGCGGAGCCCTGCACAGCCACGCTGTTTTCAAATCTGATAGATGGTACGGAGAAACCTCTCCCCGTGCTGTCAGAGCGAGGGGGGCGGCTATCGGAACATGTTACATGTTCCACCCTAAAAAACAAGTGGAACATGTAACATATTCCCAAAGGTGAACTTATCCTTCAACCACTTGCCTACTGGGCACTTTTACCCGCTTCCTGCCCAGGACAATTTTCAGCTTTCAGCGCTGTTGCACTTTGAATGACAATAGCGCGGTCAACACTGTACTGAACAACATTTTTATACTTTTTTTTAGACAGATAGTGCTTTCTTTTGGTGGTATTTAATCACCACTGGGGTTTTTATTTTTTGCTAAACAAGCTAAAAAAAAGAAAATTAAAAAAAAAAAAAATTTTTTTAGTGTCTGTAATAAAATGTTGTAAATAAGTAATTTTTCTCCTTCATTGATGTGCGCTAATAAGGCTGCAGTGATGGGCACTGATAGGCAGCACTGATGGGCATTGATAGGCAGCACTCATATATGGCACTGATAGGCAGCACTGATGGGCATTGATAGGCAGCACTGATAGGCATTGATAGGCAGCACTGATGGGCACTGATAGGCAGCACTGATGGGCATTGATAGCCAGCACTAGTGGGCACTGAAAGGCAGCACTCATATATGGCATTGATAGGCAGCACTGATTGGAACTGTTAGGTAGCACTGATAGGTGGCACTGAAAGGTAGTTCTGATGTGCACTGGTATGTGGCATTGATCGGCACTGACAGGTGGCAATTACGGGCACTGACTAGGCTACACTGATGATCAGTGCCCTGATGGTCAGTGTACATGTCCCCTCACATGACAGAGTGTACGTCATCGGCTCTTTACTATGATTGTTGATCCACTGTGTCCCAGGGACCTAGCGCACCACCGATCGCCGTGCGCCCCCCCGGGACGTGCATGCACAGCTAGAGTGGGAGGACATCATATGACGTCCTCCCAGAATGGAAGAACCGCTGCCCTGTCATTTCCTTGCACGGAGGGCAGGAGGCAGTTACACCTCATCACTTTAAGCCTGGGTTCACATACATGCAGTGTGGTACATCGCATGTGATTCACACAGGAACTGCACCGCAATCTTGTGCAAATCACATGCGATTTGTGTGCGGTGCGATAAGAGCCATACATTTTGTATGGCTCTAATCGCACCGTACCCGCACCAAAAAGGTGCAGGACCCTTTTTTTGCTCCGCACTAGAACCGGTTTGCATGGTTCCAATTCTGCACATCACACCACGTTTTGTGGGACCGCTTTCGGGGTGTTGTTAACTTAACATACAGCTGTTCGCATGAATGGGGTGCAATTCTGATGTGGTGTGGAATTCATACAGAATATGCTGCGAATTCCACACCACATCAGTGTGAACCCGGGCTTAAACTGAACACATATTAATTACACAGGTTCTGTGGCTGATTAAGGTGGTAATTAAACTCATTTAGTGCTTATCTACATTAAATTAGCCTCAGAACCTGTGTAATTATTATGTGTCCGGTTTTAAAGGGATGAGATGGCAACCCTATGTTGAGCTCATCACACACACGTTACAATCTGATTGTACAATCTCCTTTAGATCTACCACCAACTGCTTAGTACAAGGGCCTTCCGGACTGGATACAAGCTGATTGGATAAATTAAGTAGGTCCTCATATTACATAGTTTGGGTAAATCTAAAGTTGATTGTACAAAGATTGTAACGTGTATGGTGCCCCTTAGCTTAATAAAAAGCGATGCATTTGAAAAAACAAACAAAAAAAAGTAGAGTGTGTAAACTGCACATCAGCAAGTGAAAAAATGCACGGCAACGCAGACTGTCATCGCATATGGCATGTGCACTGTGGTGTGAACAGGGTGGATAAAAATCAATGATTTTTAAAAAAATTAAAAAAAAAAAAAAACGGATTTTTTTTATTTAAATCGGATTTTTTTTAATAAAATGCTTTTTGAGGAAAATATATTACCATCCAAAGGTTATTCCATCATGAAATAAAGATTAGTTTTTTAATTATGTAGAATAAGGCTGTATATGTTTAATTTTTTTGGTAAATAAATTCCATTAATCCATTCACAATGTCATGCTCTTCCAGAGGTTTTTGTAAGAATTTTGGGCAGTTTCTCTGCCTACAAGATATTATCACAGATGATCGGTTTACTTTTGCAGTTCTCAAAACTGAATTTGACTCAGCGGAGATCACATGCCTCTTCTTCACAGCAAAAATGTTATAACATGAACAGAGTTAAGATCAAGACCTTCATCCTAACTTCTACAAAAACTATGAATACAGAATCAACCCCTTCAGTGCTAAGTTTCAAGAAGTTCAGTGAATAGAATAGAAACAATATTTTTCTGATTGTTTGGAGTGGAATAGATCTGCACAAGAAGAAAGTGAAACTAAGTGTGAGGAGGAAGGGGCTGACAGTCTAAGTTTCTTAAAAATATATATATTTTGTTTAGC